ACAAAAATGAGACCGGCAACAGGTAAGCATCAGTCTAACAGGAAATCACAGCTGCTGAATTCTAGGGGAGAGGCAGTTAAACCTAAGGTCACATAGCTGGGCGTTGGTGGCGCACACCTTTAATCCCAGCACTGGGGGGAGGGGGGGTAGAGGCAGGCAGATCTCTGTGAGTTCGAGACCAGCCTGGTCTACAAGAGCTAGTTCCAGGACAGCCTCCAACGCCAGCCACAGAGAAACCCTGTCTTGAAAAACCAAAAAAAATAATATATTTTAAAAATACATGTCTTCAGGACTAGAGAGACTGCTCAATGGTTAAGAGCACATACTATTTTCAAAGAGGATCAGGGTTCAGTTTCTAGCATCTACATGATAACTAACAACCATCCATAACTCCAGTTCCAAGGGATCTGACCTCCATGGTAGCCAGGTGTGCATATGGCTCACACACATGCTTGCAGGCAAAACACTCATAGAGATAAAATTATAATTCTGAGGCTGGAGACAAGGCTCAGTGGTTAAGAACACTTGTTCTTTCAGAGAACTCACTCTTAGTTCCCAACACCTACATAGTGGCTTTTAACCATCCATAACTCCAGTTCCAGTCAATCTGGAGCCCTCTTCCGACATTTGCAGGTACTTCACATACACGTACACCTATACTCATACAGACAAAACACTTATACACATAAAACAAATAAATAAAAAAAAAACACAATTCTTTCCCACCTTCAACCCCCACACATAGGACATTATATCCAGATAACTGAAGATATCTTGGGGCATGCCCAGTGTTTAGTCTCTCAAGGTAGTCTAAAAGCATGAACCTTTGCAGACCACTTGGTAATTGGTACAGCAGTCTCCCCTGGACAGACAGTCTTCGGAGCAGTGACAGGCGTTTTCCTCATTTCGTATTTCTCCACATCTGTCTTTGGTGCACTCCCAGCCACGAGCTGAAATCATCACAATGAAACACTCTCACTGCTGCACACAAACCAAATGAAAGAGGCCACAGTTGCTTACAAGGGCTTCCAACAAAAAGAGCCAGAAGCCCACATCATTTGATCTGTTTGTGAAACTTGAGTCAGCCAGAGACCAAGGAGACATTTGGAGAACTTACAAATGAGATGAATTTCTAATTTTTCAAAGAAAAGGGCAAACTCACAGCACTCCTGAACTCTCATAGAAAAACAAAACACAGAAAGTCAAAGAATC